GGCAAACGTGGCGCAGCCTGGCGAGCCGCGCGGCGCACAAGTGGGACCCCTTCAACATGGTTGAGCTGCGCGGGAGGAAGGTGGGCATCATTGGCTACGGCGACATTGGGCAGGCCGCCGCCCGCCTTGCCACCGTGTTCGGGATGGAGGTGACAGGTGTCAGGCGTTCCGCACCCTCCGAGAAGGTGGACAAGTACGGCGCGCTTGTGGTGTCCGGTGACGCCGAGCGGGACCGCGTGATCCGCGAGTCCGACTTCTTGGTCAATACCCTCCCAGGGACGGAGGAGACAAAGCAGTTCTTCAACAAGGAGCGCTTTGCCATGATGAAGCCGAGTGCAATCTACATCAACATTGGCCGCGGCATCACGACGAAAGGGGAGGACCTCGCGCTTGCGCTGCGGGACGGCGTCATCCGTGGTGCCGCTGTGGACGTCTTCGAGCAGGAGCCGCTCTCCTCCGCCTCCTCGCTGTGGGACATCAGCGATGACAAGCTTCTTTTCACTGCCCACTCGGCGGACAGGAGCGTTGACCTCGTTCCCTCGTCGGTGCGCCGTTTCATCGGCCTGGTAACGGAGTACATGAAGACGAAGCAGCTCAATACCTACTTCGTGGACGCCGTGCGTGGGTACTAGGAGAGACAGAGGTAAGGAGCGCCCGAAGGGCGGCGCCTTGCACGGGGGCAAGACTTAATTTTATTTACCTCGGCCGCGCTTATTTTATTAATTGTTTTGTAAGTTGTGGAGCATCAAAAGAAAACGACGCAAGGTGAAGCGATTTTTATTATAATTATTTTTTTTTGTACTTGGGGCTGAGCGGTGGCTTCCTAGGAGAGGCGGTCGTGTGGGGACTGCGTTTGTCCCTCTCCTTTTCTATGGCCCCGGCGCCTGCCCCATTGGGGAGGATGTGTTGGGTGAAATTGTGCCAGTAGTGCATTCCGCGTGCTGTAGGAGGAAGATTTTTTTTTCCGGTTCTAATGTGGTTGAAGGGGTTTTTTATTTCCATTTTTGGTTGTTATGTTTCCTCAGGTTTCCCCGTCTTCGAGGTTTCTATGACCATCTTTACCGTGAAGCCCTTTTTCTTTTTTGCCTTACTTACCGCCGCGGAGGGAGCGAGAGGCTTCGGAAGGTGCCTTTTTGCTTTCCCGTGGCCTGAGTTGCTGTTGCTGTCGCTTCGTAATTCCTATATTAACCTTTGGTCACCTTCTTCCCCGCCCGATGCGCGTGCGACTTGTCTACTCTTTTGCCGCCTCTCCGGAATGAAGCAGCGGGTTTCAACAGGAGGAGAAGCGCCTTGTCCGCCGCGCGACTGCGCACGCACGCACACAGACACGGGCACGATGCCGCTTAACCCCCGCATGCGCGTTCGCCTCATTGGCCCCAGCGGGCACAAGTCCGACTATCACTGTGCGACGCTGCTTGGGAATTGGCGGGAGGAGCGGATGACATTTGGGTTCAAGGATGCGGCAAAGGAGCCGCTGGAAACCCAGACGACATAGTTGGCGTCGTACAAGGGCACTAAAGACGATGAGGAACTTTTCGCGGCGAGGCCCCCTGGCTGCTTTTGCGCTGAAGCGCCAGTGCAGCTCCTCTTTTCCCACGGCGACATTGTTGCCCCGCCGCGGCATCAAGTCACCGTGCACGAGCTCAGTTACACCCATCCGACGATGGACGCCAGGGCGAAGCCAGTGGAGACGATCCTTGATAGCGAGGGCATATCTCAGCGGCGGGACAAGACAGAGGCGCTGCGCCGTGCCATGGGATTCGGCGGGCGTGCGGCCACCGTTGGGGCTCCGCCGTGCCTCGGAGGAAAGACAGTGGCGGTACCGCTGGCGTACAGCGCAGAGTGTGCCGCAAAGAGGGATAAGGAATATATGCAGGCAACGCGTGGGGGACAGTATCAGCCACCGAGGCTCCCACCTATTGGGCGGGCCCTAGAGAAGGAGCGGCTTCTGACCACCAAAAACGTGACTGTGGATGCGACAGGGGAATACCTCAGCGAGAACGTTGATGAGTACCCCGCAACAAGCAGCGAATGTTGGGGGCAATTTATGGCCTACAAGGACGACCCAATGCAGCGGACAAAGCTTCGCGAGGCGTACGAGTGACCGCAACCGGCGTTTTTTTTCTTTTTTTTCACGCCTGTGCAATTCCTCCCATGTAATTTGTCGCCGCTAAAACAAAGGCGCGGAAGGAGGAAGACGCAGACAAGAAGGAGTGAAAGGGTACACGAAGGCGCGGCAACAGTGAAATAGGTCGCTTCTCCATCCAGCGCGTAACTCGCGCCTTGACAATGTTGGGGCGAAGGCGCGTACAACGCTTTTGTAATACCCCTGGAAATTTCAGCTCCAGCCTTGGGGAGCGACCCAAAAATAAAAATTGTAAGACGTCTTTCTCCCCCATGCTCTTCTCACCATATGCACAGCCATCAACACAAGGAAGAAAAAACAGCTATCCATCTACACATACTCCATCGCACCCAAGCCACGAAGATGTCCCTCAGGCTCTGCGTGTGTACTGCCTCAGCCAATGGCGAGTACTACATGGAAATGTTTAACAAGCACCTCAGCAGCTTCTTCAAGAGCATCACCCTGGGCTCGAAGGTGAGCGATTTTAAGGAGGTCAAGGAGTCGAAGGACCACATCATCCTCTATGTTGACGGCCCCGCGGGGTACGACGGGATCAAGGACTTGTGCGACGACTACCACCTGCCGAAGGAGCAGAGGAGGGTTCTATGGATCTACTCACTCACCGCGGGCTGGATGTCTACCGGCCGCATGAACTTGTAAAGG